ACCTGGCCTCCTGGCGGGGGGGCTGCTGCTGCTGCTGCTGCTGCTGCTGCTGCTGCAGCTCAGCAGAAATAAGCTGAAAAAAGGAAAACTATTAGACTAAATATTTAAGGAAGCAAAAATAATGTAAATGCAGACAGAGAAGGCTGTGAAAATCTGCTCGATTCATCAGCAGGAGCAGCAGCAGCAGCAGCAACAGCAGCAGGTATACCTGCTGCAACACAAATATATCTATGTATATATTTCTTTTTCCTGAATAAAGCGTTTATTTAAATAAAATCTTTTTAATAAATAAAATTATTTATTTTACTTTTACTTGGTACTTGCTGCAGACAACAGGGCGAGGAGGCTCAAGCCTCGAGGGTTGGGGGGCCCCTCCTGCTGCTGGCTGCAGCAGCAGCAGCAGCAGCAAGAGCGTTAATTTTTTTGAAATATTTTATTTAAATATATTTTTTAATTATTTAAAATAATATTAATTATTTTTTTATTGTTTTCGGGGCTACTTCAAACTCTATTTACCTCCTACCCCGCCGCCCAGAGGCAGATCAGCACAAGAACAGAAGACAAGAAGAAAGTAAATACAAATAAACGATATTCTTTAATTAATATTAAAAATATTTTTATTATTTTAAAGATATTTCTAAAATAAAAATATAACAAAACAACATACAACAAAACACATCGCGGTGTACATCCACCACCTTGCAAAGCTCTCCTAAACCCTAAACCCGAAACCCTAAACCCTGAGCCTGAACCCGCACGTATGAGCCCTCGCCTCGGGGTTGTTGTCTGTGCTGGGTATGGGTAGCTAGCTGTAGCTATTTGTAGCTAGCTGTAGCTAGCTGCAAGTGGCTGCAAGAGGCTCTAGCTAGCTGTTGTTATTCCTTGCGCATTCACCAGCAGCTAGCTGCTCTTTGCCGTAGCTAGCTGCCAGCCCTCGCAGCCAAGCGCAGCCACCTGCATCTATCGATACGGAACTGCTACTGGCTATGGCTAGCTGTGGCTAGTTAGGCTAGCTACGGATAGTCGTTGGTAGCCACAGCTATGGATGGCTAGCTATGGCTAGCTGCAGCTAGCTGCAGCTAGCTGCAGCTAATTGTAGCTAGCTGTAGCTCCTTATGACTGTGTTTTTGTATGGCGCTTCTGTGTTTGTTTTGTTTTTGTTTTTTTGTGTTTTCTTTGGGTTTGTTGCATTTGCAGTGTCTACGCAGTTATTTCTTGTTTTTTTGCTGATGCTTTTGTTGTTGTTGTTTGTTGTCAGTTTATTTATTTATTTTTTGTTTATTTGTTTGGTTGTTTGATTATTTATTTATTTATTTATTTATTTATTTGTTTACTTATTTTAACCGAACGCTCGCCAAACAATTTATTATTTTAAACAAACAAACAAACAAAAACAAAAAAAATGAGCAAAGACAAACAAGTAAATAAATAAATTAACAAAGACAAACAAATAAAACAAGCAAAGACAAACAAATAAACAAACAAAGACAAAGAGACACAAACAAAGACAGACAAATAAAACAAATAAAGAACGGAGACAAAGACAGATATAAAAAAGATAAAGACAAAGACAGACATAGAAAAGATAAAGACAAAGGCATAAATAAAAACACAGGTGAAGACAAAGAAAAAATAGACAAAGACAAAGACAAAGACAAAGACAGACATAAACAAGATAAAGACAGAGACAGATATAAAAGAGATAAAGACAAAGACAGAGATAGAGATAGAGACAGATATAGAAGAGTTAAAGACAAAGACAGAGATAAAGATAAAGATAAAGATAAAGATAAAGACTAAGACAAAGACAGAAGAAGGCAAAGACAAAGACAAAGACAAAGACAAAGACAAAGACAAAGACAAAGACAGAGATAGAGAGCAAAGACAAAGACAAAGACAAAGATAGAAAGCAAAGAGAGCTATCCTGCCTCTTGCATGCGCTGTTTGGTTTGTTGGTGTTTATTTATTTCGCTGATATCTCTGAAGAATTCAATTAACTTTGAGTAAGAGGTCGCGCACCCCACAGATGGCACAGGAAGTGCTGCTGCTGCTGCTGCTGCTGCTGCGGCTGCTGCTGCTGCTGCTGGTGCTGATGGTGATGCTGCTGGTACTGCTGTCGCTGCGGGAGGGCCAGCGACTGCTTCCGCTGCGGTTGGTGGCGGTGGTAGTGTTGCTGCTGCTGCTGCTGCTGCTGAGGGGGCAAGCGAGTTACGCGATGCATGCAGGAGACAGTCGGGTCTCCTTGTTGTGCTGTTCTTTGATTCATTTAAAGAATAGAATGTGCGCAGGCGCTGCTGCTGCTGCTGCTGCTGCGGCCTGCTGCTGCTGGCTGCAGCAGGAACGCTCAGCCAGCCCAAAGGTGCTGTGGGGCCCCTGCCATCACTCCTCCTTTGCTGTTGCTGCCGCTGCTGCTGCTGCTGCTGCTGCTGCTGCAAAGAGGAGACACCGAGCCCCCTAGGGGTTGCGCAATCAGCAGCAGTCAGCAGCTGCCAGCCATCAGTTACAAAGGGTTCCTTTGCAGCAGCAGCAGCAGCTGCTGCTGCTGCTGCTGCTGCTTCACTTTGATGGTGCTGCTGTTGCTGCCACTGCCGCTGCAGCAGCTGCTGCTTCTGTTGCTGCTGCTGCTGCTGTTGCTTTGGGGGCTGCCGCACCCGTTGATCAGAGGCTCCTGCATGAAAAGACAAAAGGAGACCAACAAAAGGAGACAGTTTGTTGCTGCTGTTTCTTTTTGTGTGTCTTTATCTTTATTGGTGGTGCTGCTTCTGCCTCTTCTGATACAAAAAGCTTTATTTTTGTTTTATTTTGTTGTATATTTTACAGTCTTGCTGCTGCTGCTGCTTCTGCTGCTGCTGCTGCTGCTGCTGCTGCTGCGGGTGCTGCTTCGGCTTCTGCTGCCGCCGCTGCTGCTGCTGCTGCTGTGCCTTACCGGGCCAATCTGCGAACAGTTTCCAGTCGCCGTACTCCACAGCGCGCCACTGCTGCTGCTGCTGCTGCATTTGCTGCTGTTGCTGCAGTTGTTGCTGCTGCTGCTGCAGACGACGGAAGAACACTCTTTGCTGCTGCTGATACAGCGCCTCCCTTGCATGTGGCCTATATTTGAAACCCCCCATCATCTGCTGCTGCTGCTGCTGCTGCTGCTGCTGCTGCTGCTGCTGCCGCGCAGCAGGGGCTTCAGGGTTCGCAAGAGACATCCCTGGGGGCCCCCACCTTGACTTTGAAGGCTGCAGCGGGGGTAATCTGCTGTTATGCGCTAGCAGCAAACCAGATGCAGCTGCTGCTGCTGCAGCAGCTGCTGCTGCTTGAGAATAACAACCAAAAGCAGCAGGTGCTGCAGCACCTGCTGCAGGGGGCCCCGCTTTCAGGAAGGGGGCCCCCCAAGCGCTCTCTCGCGCCCCTGTTAAATACGGCAATGCTGGCTGCTGCTGCTGCTGCTGCTGCTGTTGCTGCTGCTGCTGCTGCTTCAAGGGGGGCCTGACAGCCATGCCGTCGAGCTCCATGAGAGTTGCTGCTTGTTGCAGCGTAAAACTCTTAAAGGGAGCATAAGAGAAGTGGTGCTGCTGCTGCTGCTGCTGCAGCAGCGGTAGATGGCGCTGCCACTGCTGCTGCCATTGCTGCTGCCACCGCTGCTGCTGCTGCTGCTGCTGCTGCTGCGGGGCCCCACTTTTATTTATGAAGCCCCTGCCTTCACGCTTGTAGCATTCGCCTGTCTCCTCTACAGCTGGTGAAGGACTGCGCGAGTGTTTGTTGCCGCAACTGGCAGCAGCAGCAGCTGCTGCTGCTGTTGCTGCTGCAGCAGAAGAGGCCCCCTCTTCTCCAGCTGTACGAACGCTGCTGTTGCATGCACCCTTTAACTCCGGCCCCACACGCAGCCCCAAACCCCTCAGCTGCATGCGCTGCAGAGACCCATCGCCACCCAATGGGGGAGCTGCTGCTGCTGCTGCTGTTGCTGCTGCTGCTGTTGCTGCTGCTGCTGTTGCAGGATGTGCTTCAGGCGCTGCTGTAGCTGTTCCAGGCCCCGCTGCAGCAGCAGCAGCTGGTGCTGCTGCTGCTGCTGTTGTTGTTGCGTCCTCCTTGCGGCTTTTTGCATGCGTCTGCCTGCAGCAGCAGAAAAAAAAGATATTGTTTATTTATTTATTTTTTTATTTGTTTACTTATTTATTTTATTTATTTATTTTATTTATTTATTTACTTCTTCACCCATTTATAAAGTCTTTTACTGTTTACTCTCTAGTGCTATCACTTCAATTGCTGCTGCTGCTGCTGCTGCTGCTGCTGCTGCACCTCCTCCTGCTCCTACTCTTACACCCGTTGCTGCTGCTGCTGTACAGCAGCAGCAGCAGCAGCAGCAGGCAGTTGCATGCTGCGTTAGAAGCTTGAATCCTCAGGGCCTCAAAACCCTCTGGGGGTTCTCTATATATTTTGTTTGCTGCTTTTATTTTAATTGTTTTGCTGCTTTTATTTTTATTGTTTTGTAGATTACCTCTGGTTTTCAACAGCAGCATTTGCTACTTTGGGCTGTCTCGTCAAGTGTGGGGCCAATTGCTGCTGCTGCTGCTGCTTCTGCTGCTGCTGCTGCTGCTGCTGCTGCTGCCGCTGTTGCTGCAAGGAAGCTGCAGCAGGTTGTGGGGCTGCATGCGGCGCTGGCGTTGCAGGCGAAGGGGATCTTGCGTTTATCTCTCCCTCGTAGAGACTGCTTGTCTTTGCTGCTGCTGCTGCTGCTTCTGCTGCTGCTGCTGCTGAAGCTTCAAGAGGCAGCAGAATGGAGGCAGAGGAAACATCATCCTGTGGCTGCTGCTGTTGCTGCTGCTGCTGTTGCTGCTGCTGCTCCTCCTCCTCCTGCAGTAGATATCGGGGGATATCTGTTGCAGCAGACGCTTCTTCCCACACCTCTTCCAGCTGCTGCTGCTGCTGCTGCTGCTGCTGCTGCAGGGGACTTTCGTTTGAGCCTTCGTCTCCTTCTGCAAGTCAAGGCAGCATGCAAACCCCTCACACTAAGCAGCTGCAGCAGTAGCAGCAACAGCAGCAGTAGCAGCAACAACAGCGGCAGCAACAACAGCAGCAACGGCAGCAATTGCTGCAGCAACAGCAACACTGGCCACGAAAGCAGCAACAGCAACAGCAACAGCAGCAGTAGCAGTAGCAGCATCAGGGGGTCTCACTGGCAGCAGCAGCAGCAGCAGCAGCAGGGAGAGATTTTTGTTTAGTTTGTGCGTTGCAGTTTGTATTATTCTGCTGCGCCTCAACACACATACACGTATATATATATGTATATATATATGTAAATATATATATATATATATATGTATATATATATATGTATATATATATATATGTAA